TGAATATAAGCCGCAGCAGCGGCATACCACTCTCGGTTCCACTTTTACTTTTGCGCGCTACCTGTCTCACTCTTTTCCGGCCTCCAGCTTTTCCTGCTGGAACCCGCCGCTTAAAGGTGGGGGTCCGCGGACCGGCCATAGAGCCCATAGAGTTAAAGGTGTTGGCCGTTAGCTGTAAAAATCCATAGATTAGCCGCACCGTTATATAAGCTTATAGTCCGAAAATTACGGTAGTCGTAAGTTCAGAGCAATTAATCAACTAGCCATCACAAGTTTATGGTTATGATGATGATTCCAGGGCTGAGAACAAACGTTATGAGTAACATCAGAGGACGTTGGATTATAAAACTGTAATAATGAGACTTTAAAGAGGACCTATGCAAAATGCAGTTTTTGATGTCTTTTATACATAAAGATGTGTCCCCGGTGTGTCGGGGAACTCACGCAGCGTCAGAAAATAAAACCCTCTCTCTTTTCCTCCGTACCCAAATCTCTAAAAACGGGGCTACAACGGAGCTGATCCAGATTTGCGTCCGATATGACGTAATATGGGAAATGTGGACCCACGGCCCTATCAGAAACTTTGCTATCAGAAACAATCAAATTTCTTTTTTTTAAAGCTTTATACCCCGAATCAGCACTTTTTAAACAGGAAGTGAAATAGAGGGATATGAGGCATGGCTAGAATGGGTGATCTGTTTGGTATTTTGAGCAAAACACTTCATAGACATNGCAGGAAATAAAAAGGAAACTCACCTTGTGGTATAACCGGCAAGAGAGAAAGCTTTTGAGCTCCATACTGTTTCAGAGATAATCCTTGATAATCCATGATATGGCTTTTCCTCACGGCAGTATTTAGTTTAGACAGTAGCTGCCGGGTCCCGCATGAGCTCAGCCCCCTCCTTTTTATTTTTTTAAAGCTTTATACCCCAAATCAGCACTTTTGAAACAGGAAGTGAAATAGAGGGATATGAGGCATGGCTAGAATGGGTGATCTGTTTGGTATTTTGAGCAAAACACTTCATAGACATGTTTTTTATATATTTGTATATATCTGAGACCTACTGCATGCTATTGACTAAAAATAGCATGATAGGTGCACTTTAAATTTGTATATTTGAAAAAAAACATGTCGAGTCATAAAGAGTGAGTTGAAATAGACCTCTGAAGCTCACCCCTCGTTTCTCCTTCACGCTACAGTAGATGATCAAAATTACATCAGTGACTACGAGCGTAACACAACAACATGAACTATCACCAGTCATGTTGCATTGTGGGTAATGTAGGAGCCAGGTTCAGACCAAGAAGAGGTATGCGTGGTATAAGAATATTTAAACGATTTCTCTGGTGCTTCTGCATCGTTTTTTCAATAAGACTGCAATGCTGAATATGTGAAGAATGATTTAAATGAATACAGTCAGCAGGCTACTCTCTTATTGCAGCTGTGCTTTTGTTTTAGTGAAGGGTCAGCTCACCTGTACTATAGGGACATGTAGCCACACAGGTGATTTCAGCTTTGTGTGCAAGTTGTGAGACACACACCTGCATCATCACACACCCTGAAGGTGAATGGAATTTGTTCAACTGAAAACACTAAAGAGATCTCATCAGCACCTCTTCTGTCCAAAAACAATGTCCTCAGTTAATTGGGGTAATCTGCATGCCTCACGAAGAACAGTTTTTATCACGATTGTTTCTTTGGTACAAAATAGTTTCAATTTCACAGCTTGTGTTTTCATCCAGCACTTATCATCTTTGGCTCTACAAATTTCCAGACCATCATCCAGTGCTTATCCAGAGCAACATAACAGTGAGTCAGCAAGAGTTTAATATCCGAAACAAAGGGTCTTTATTCAGCAATTGAGGCTATTATGAGCTGTGAATATACAATTCTGCTATATTTCCATGTGCTGAAGTCAACTATGATGCATGACTACAATGTTGCTGTCTTGAAAAATCGTAGTTTAGGTCTGTTGTGTTTTTTTTTTTTTTTTAATCCTGCCCTTTCCGCTGTTATTTCATGGTCCAGCAGACGTTTCATTCACCGTCCTGTTGGACAGTTGTTAGCCTCACTTCCCCAGTTGTTCCAGCTTTTCCTGCCAGGGATGATACGGCATTGATTTGGTTGTCAGCGAATCAGGGGAGTGAAATGAATGCTCAAAGGAAATCTGACATGTGTTTATCTGCAATCCAAGGAAAAAGGGGGGTTTCTGGATGTTTCAAAAGGCTTTGATATTGGCTTCTTTAGTTGGTAACAGCTCGTATTGTGTAGCTCGAAGAAAACTGATGCTGGAATTTATGTGTTTCAGTGTTGCCAGGAGTTGATCATTTGTTTTAACTTGTTATATAACATCAACATATTTGTTTTTTTAGACGTCTATCAAAGGTTGTGTTGACGGGATTAAGAACACATGAGTAAGACTTCACACACCTTCAAATATAAACTCAGCAGGTTAACACTAACAGGTACTTTATGGTGTACACACACACACACACACACACACACACACACACACACACACACACACACACACACACACACACACACACACACACACTACACACACACACACACACACACACACACACACACACACACACCGACAGGGAACATCGCTACCCTACCTCAGGATGTAAGGAAATGAGGCTTTCTTCCTTCCCTGACCCCGAGCAGGCTGGGGCTGAAGCTTGGCCTTTTCATAGCCTTTCTCCCCCTGCCATGCATGCTGGGAATTTATAGTCCAATAATAAGCCTCTCAGAAAGTGGCTGTTCATCACGGGATGACAGAAAAACAGTGTTGAGAGAATTATACTTTGACTTTTTGACTCCAATTTGTTTGTCCGCTGAGAAGGGATTTGTGAGCTTGCTATGCTATTGTCTCAGATTTATGTCTTTTAGAAAACCCCTCCATTTAAGCTCCTCCAGAGGAATGCTGTCTGGTGATGATATAGGATGATAACCAGGCAGCAGTGCATTTTAGTTTGCTTTGCTTTCTGCAGTACTCCAGCTCGCTCGTGCTCTGAGGAATTCTTCCACCATTCGACGACTCCGGCGGCTAAATCTGCCGCAGCGAGCCCCGTCGCCTCGGGGAAACATCCACCTGTGAGCGAGCCGGAGGAAGCGGCTGTGAGGAAGGGAGCCGCTGGTGTCCCGTTGGCCGCAGATGCAGAGAAACAGGTCGGCCAAACGCTGACCTCTCCCAACACCACGAATCCCCCGCACTTCCTTCCTGTGCCCGCTGCCGTGGCAACAACCGATACAAGCCGGCGGAAGGGACGGGCGCTGAGCGAAAGTGGCGACCCAAAAGAAGGAAGCACTTTGCCAGAGAGCGGTCTTCCTGCAACGTGAGCCCCGTCCAGCAACTACACTACATTTCAATCATTTCCACTGAGTTGAACTTAAACTACAATATGCTACTTTAGAATCAAAGGATCTAGTATTCAAATGACTGTTTTGAATACTCAATCTCAGCATGCAACCTCGACTGCACTGCTCCTATCTGGATGACTACCGAAAGATTGCATGACTTTCTTTCAAATGAATACAAACTTGTATTATTTTCTCAAAAGCAACTGTTATTGTACAGAGAATGCATGAAACTGTGAGCAATTTGGATTTTATTCTAATTGCATTGCTTATTAAGGAATTTGGAGAAAGAGAAACATTTAAGAATGTTATTTTTCATGAATCTTTCTGGAGTCCCAAAAAGGAGTTAGAAATGGACTCAATTTGATCCAAAAATGATTTGGCCGTTCCTGAATGCTTAAATGTATTTCAATCAATTCCATAAATATCCCTCAAATACCATCTTTAAAGCAAACCCCACTTTATCACAGGCTTTCATCTTCCTCCAAAACATATGGCGAGTGATCATTTTACTGCAACAAACCAAATGGCAGATAGCCATCTTAGAAATAAAAAAAGTATCTGGCCCTGATTTAGCGAAGCTTCTATTATTTTATTCTCCTTGTTCTCTTGTGGCGAGAAACCACAGGCCACGCTTACTCTCACACCCCTCCAACATCACAGAGGCAGCTACATAAAGAAAGCATGTGTGAAGACCTTTAGCGGTCGCAGCCCAACATAGCGGTGGTAGTCACAGACAGAGGATGTGCGCTGTCTGATAGAGGTTGCATGTGCTTTTTGTTTTTAAGAGCTAAGTGTCAGCTGCATCAGAGATCATTGCCATATGCATCTGTCTTATGCTAGCAGTGTTTTGGTATGCAGTGATGCAGTAAACGTGTCTGCTGCTCTGGCTGTGTTATGGTTAAGACTGCCCCCTTGTGCCTGGTTTAAGGATCAGAGTTAAACCTGACACACCTCAGTGCTTGGTTACAAAACCAGAAGGGGCACTTGTTTGAAACATTTCTGAACAATTCTGTATGAAATCTGTCATAACTAACTCATTGTCAGTGTGATCACAGGAATGTAACTCAATAGCGATTAAATATCCCATCACTGTGTCTGATATCCACATGAGTGAATGCTGATTGTCTCTTTTGAGTGTACTTGTATTCATTTGTGATTGTGTTCTCTGCCTTCTGTAGATTCAGCCGCACACACAGTGTGTCAGATGACCCACAGTAAGTTGTCCATTTAGCACTCAGACACTCGGCTGTCTGGCCCAGCCCTGCTACGCACTGCAAAGCAAAGCCCGCTCAATAATCATTCTGTCGCCTATCGAGTGTTACAATTTCCTTTACGCAAGTGGAAAAAATCTACCAAACGTTAGAGAAATGTTAAGAAGTTTCTCAAAGCCAGTGAATGTTTTTCTGGTGGGGTGGTTTTAGTATCATTAAAGGTGACATTTGTGCACATTCTTTATATTTTTATATTCAACCATCTTTTAATTGCAGAAATTACGAGATTGTAGTGCATTGCCACAGAAGTAGGACTGCTCGATTACGGCAAAAATCCTAATCACGATTATTTTAGTCAATAATTGATATCACGATTATTAAAAACGATTATCCATTTACTTTGAAAACATTCATTTATTGAAAAAACAAATATGAATAGTATGTTTTTATCAGTTGATTACCCTGAACTTTAAGTATAATTCAACTGAAAACACAATAAAAAAAAAATAATAATAATTAAAAAATTAATTAAAAAAATTAAAAATAATAATCTTTCATTTTGATTATGTTGTTTTCGTAATCGTTGCAAGCCAACATCGTAATCAAGATTAAAATTCGATTAATTCCACAGCCCTACACAGAAGTGTGTCTTGCCAGGGCAGGAAATCCTCTTAAAATGGCCCTCATGTGATACTTCAATTCTCTACTGAATGTCATTAACAAGTGCTTTCGTTTATCTTAGCAGCTCAGCCAATAAGAGGCTAAAGTATGTGATCAATGTATCTATACAACCCCACTGAAGAGGGAAATACCTAGACTGAAATATCTCTAGGCAAAGACTGTAATGTATACATGGAGGTGAAAATGGCAGTAAGTGCAGTCAGCCAGGGCTTATGTATCATAACATTTGTTAGGAGATGATCTGATTTGACTCGGGATAACTTTTTTTCTAATTGTCTTTACACGGAAGACAAAAGTCCTCAAATTAAGCAGATTTGTCCTAATTGTATAAGTCAAATAATAAGTTAAAAGACCATTACCGTGTCAAACAATGTCCATTTACCATAAACTTGATCTGAAACATCAAGAAATGTAGTTTTTACTAAATGTAGTCACATGTCTTTCCTGCTGGCAACAACCATTTCCTCGCGGATGTATTCAAAGTGCCTGCTGTGGTGTGTGTAGAGAGGACTTACTAAACTGTGCTGCTCCGACATCATTAGTGCTTCTGCCAGCTGCATGTAACGCAATCATTTCAACCGCCCTCCTGACACCCTCTCCCTTACAGGATGAATTATCATGTGATCTCATTTGCTAATGTAAAAAGTGCAGCTTTTCATGTAGCAGAAGTGGTTCATAGCATGGTGACAACACAATTGTTTGTTTAAAAGTTTTTGATTGACGTCCCATTGAGCAAAACTTTAAAAAAACAAGTAACATGTCAGTCGTCTATTTGATTGAAAACCCTTCTGCTCACAAGTTGGTCCATCACAATCAAAAAAGGCTGCACTTTACTGTCTTCTCTGTAACCTAGAAATGAATGCTCTAACATTACTGACTGCACAAATCTATAAAATCAGTGTGAACTGTCTGTGACGCTTCTTTGAATGTATGAAGACTGTATGGTTGTTGCATCTCATACACTCACATCAGAATGCTACTTACAAACTACCTGCAGCTGATATGTTCTTTAAGATCTCACTAAATGATCTAATCTAATGTATTGAATGTCCTGTGGAACAAATGTTTGAGCGTGAAATGAAACGACGTGGGAATATTCAAAGGAACAAACTAAAGGAAAATTACTAGAATTGTGAATGTTGTATTATTTCTAAAATATTAATTATGCCTTTAGGGTGAGCATGAGGACAGTTTTTCTTTAAATGCTTCTTAAAAAGACACATCTTGTTTTGTTATCTGTACAGAGCCATTGGTTCTTTTATGTATAATGATGAAAATGGTTACACATATGTATGGTGGATCATGATTCAATACTGCTACAACATAACCAATTGTTTGCCATTGCTTAGTCTTAGAAAAGGTGAAGGCAACATAGAAGTCCCGCCCGTCTACTTCCGACCCATGGGACCTTATTTCGGAAAAATTATGTATTGAAGTCAATGGAGAGAGAAAACGTATCTTTCCATCCCGTTCGAATTGTGCCACAAATTACACATATGATGTTTGTCAATCTTAAAAAATAATTTCCATGTCAAAAAAGTCACAGTTTGTCGTAAAACTGTTGAAATATAAGACTATGGATAATACACGACTAGAAAGACTACAAATCCCAGAATCCCGTTCCCGCATGCTGGCTCTTACGGAGCCGACTAACTCCCCTTGTGTTTATGTACAGCTCTCAACATGCCCAGACTTGGAGTGATTTTCACCTCTTTTAATACTTATCGCCTCATTCTGAAAGAAAGAAGTGAAATGTGCCAACGTGACGGCCGTCTTGGTGTGCGGTGCGAGATGGGAGATGTAGTTCATTGAGCGGTTTCACACAAAAGAAAGTGTTACTTCACAGTTTTACAACACATTTTTATTTTTTTGACTTGCCAAATTATCTTTCAAATTGACAAACATCATATGTGTAATTCATGGCACAATTCAAACGGGATCGAAAGATAATCTTTCTCTCTCCATTGACTTCAATGTATACTTTTTCTGAAAAAAGGGTCCCATGGAGGTCCACCGGAAAGGGAGGGACTTCGCCTCTCTATAGCACAATGCACTTAAGGACATTTAGAGAGCTACTAGCAGACTATCTACAGTAAATACAAAAAAAACGATTGCACTCTGGTCAACGCATGATTTTTAAAATCCCTGTTCTCTGTCTGTCTCCCCCTCCTCTCCTCAGGAGTGTGAGTATGATTGACATGCGAGATGAGGAGGAGGCCATGTTGCAGCCCCACAGTCAGGTGCGTCATGAACTGATGCTCAACCAGTACAACGAGATGAAGGAAGAAGACGACCACTGGCAGGATGTGAGTGGCTCAGATTTTTCTTTCTGCATTAGGACTACAATTGTCTTAAATGCACAGTTTGATTTTATTGCACCCTTTGTGTCAGTAGTTTATCAGATAGATAGATGGATAGACAGATAGATAGAAAGATAGATAGATAGTTAGACAGACAGACAGACAGACAGATAGACAGACAGATAGATATATGAATGGATGGATATATATAGTTGGATAGATAGATAGACAGAAAGATAGACAGACAGACAGATAGATAGTTAGATACACAGATAGACAGATAGATAGATGGATGGATGGATAGATAGATAGATAGATAGATAGATGGATGGATAGATAGACAAATAGATAGATAGTTAGATAGACAGACAGACAGATAGACAGACAGATAGACAGACAGATAGACAGACAGACAGACAAGACAGATAGTTGGTTTTACTGCCTGCAGGCCAAAAGCATGAACTTGTTTTGCTGTGCCCCAGTTAAGCAACTTTAATCAGTTTTCTAGGTCCACAGCAGTGCTTCAGGTCTCTGCTGAGCCCTCTTGCCTTGCTTCACTTGGAACTGAAACACTTCTGATCTGTTTGTGTGTCAGGACCTGGCTCGGTGGAAAAATCGGAGGAGGAGTATCTCCCAGGACCTGATCAAGAAGGAGGAGGAACGGAAGATGATGGAGCAGTTGATGTCAGGAGAAATCTGTACCTCCCATAGAAGGAAAAGCATCAAGACATACAGAGAGATAGTGCAGGACAAGTACGTGGCATACACATGAAAAGGACAATTCATCTGTGTTCAGCTCAAACAACAAAGCTGTATGTACATAACAAAGTAGTGTAATGGAAAACTGGGTCTTTCTCAAAGATCATTTAATCTACTTTTTTTAATTACTATAAGTGGGCACAAAGGTGACAGTGTCTCCTCCTGGGGTTCAATTAAGGAGAACAAATGAAATAGATGGTATGATGGTGTAAATATAGTTTGAGTTGAATTAGTTGAAATGTCAACTGGAAACAGAGCAAAAGCTTTTCTGCATTAAAATCCACAAACTATATTCACTTTCATTTCCGAGAATGGGGACGTATTACTTTTACGAATACATCAGCGCGCACATTGTGCATATGATACTACTTAAACTCCCTTCCTATCCAACAGGGAGCGTCGTGAGCTTGAGCTGCGGGAAGCGTACAGGAGAGCCAGAACTCCAGAGGAGGCGTCGGCCATCCTCCAACATTACGCCCAGCGCTTCTCCATCAGTGAATCGGTCATGGAGCGCCTACAGTTGCCAAATATCCTGGACCGCAGTATATCTGCTGATCCCTCTTTACCCATCTCATCCTTCCCTATCTCCCTCTCCCCGATGACCCCTGACCCCTTTGACGTTGACCCCCACGGGCCCCTGAGGTATCTTCGACAGCAGTCGGCCCCGGCTCCTAAGTTCACGTCTACACTGGAGGCGCGGGTGGAGGAGTTTCCCAAGGAGCCCTCTCACCAGCGGCCTCAGATCCGCTCCCGCTCGTCTGAGCCGCCGTCCAACAGAACCCTGTCGCCCAAACCGGTGCCTTTGCTGACGCCCAAGCCTTACTTCCAGCCCCGACCCTCAGCGGGGGAACCATGGCCCAGCAAGGTGAGACCGACTCAGAATAAATCATGATTACCTCAATAGATGTAAATATGCTTTCAAGCATCCTCAAAATGTGGGTTGTTGCTTTTTCAAGTGTTTGGTGGTCGACCCACTACTCCTGCCGTGTAAAGTACTTATTTACTTAAATATTGTTCTTATTCATTAATATGTCTCTTCATACAAACATGCAATGATTTAATTATGATTAGTTTAACCCTTGTGTTGTGTTCGAAAGCTGTTACCGTTCATGGTGTTCGCGGACCAGGTTGCAAAAAATGATTGTTACAGTGGATGAAGGGGGTCGCGGAGGGGTGTCTAAAGTCAAAGGTGAATCTTGATTGGGCCAAATTTGACCCCGAGTCACCCAAAACAATTCTGCTGGGTCTCCCCAGACGCGAACACCGAATTATACACATTTTAGAGACCTTCAGACTTGGCTAAAATTGTCAAAATCAGTTTTGTAGTGTTTATATAGCTGCTGTGGAGGATATCATGAAGCCTTGTTCCGATACAAAAAACTAGAGCGTAGTTATTATATCATTTTAACTTGAGACGGGTCACGGGAGACCCGAACACAACATAAGGGTTAAAACAAAAACGAGTGATACCATGATAGCAGAAATGTAGTAAATGATACCAATGAGATTCCAAAATGCTCCAAACCACAGTACAAAATTAAGAAAACAATAAAAGCCATGTACCTTAACATATACTAATGTATTATTCTGTACATACAGTTTTTTGTTGAGAAGTTTATGATGTCATAATTCCCTATCCAATATCCATTTTAAATTGTTCTGAAAAACATCTCTTTTAACCAGCTATATTTATTGAAGTTTCTTAAAGCATTCATCAAAAGGAACATCCGGACACAGATAGAGTTTATTTGATCACAAATATATTTACTATAATAACCAGGACAACCTTAGTCTCAAGCCCTGACTGTACTACCGGGTCAAAAGTAAGAACTATAACATTTCAGAATTTTGGAATCGACTTTGTACTAGGGCTGTGCAATTAATCGTATTTTAATCTCGATTTTGGCTTGCAACGATTACGAAAACAACGTAATCGAAATACAACGATTATAATTTTTATTTAAAAAATAAAAATAAAATGTAATTTATTTTTTAAATTTTTTTATTGGTCTTTCGGTTGAATTATACTTAAATTTCAAGGTAATCAACTGTTAAAAACATACTGTTCAAATTTTATTTTTTTTCAATAAATGGATGTTTTCAAAGTAAAGGGATAATCGTTTTTAATAATCGTGATATCAAATATTGACCAAAATAATCGTGATTATGATTTTTGCCATAATCGCACAGCCCTACTTTGTACCAAGGTATTGGTTCTTGTGACATCCCTAACCACAGCAGTGCTCCAGTGGGTATGTTTGAGGTCCTGACCACTTTACATGGAGTAACTTCACACTCCTCACAGGCTGGAGGGCAAATCCCCCCCCTCTTGGCAGACACACTGAATGCCACCGGACGGCCATGGTGATGAGCCGGCTGGTTTCTAGGAAAACACAAGACTTCCCCTCAGAGAAGAAGCATGTAATGTTTCAATTTAGCTCAAAGTGCTCTCGACAGGATCCATTTCCTTTTCTTCTGCAAATATTTCCTAATGGGAATATTGAAAATGAGATCTTGTGTTTTGGCGTGGCGGGGAGGGAGGGGCAGATTATTACCAGACTACATGGAGCACAGCGCTTTTCTGGAATGTCCTGTCAGGAGTCTGAGCGGAGCCCAGCTTCAATGGAGCCCTCTGTTTCCTATTGACTTAAGAAGTTGACAAGTAGGGCCCTCTCAATGTGAAGTGGGCTCCCAGCGGACAAAGAGGGCCCACACAGGCTGCTCGGAGAGGGATGAGAAGGTGGAAGCGGAGGGGGGGGGGGGACTGAGAGCCTGCATTCACCCAACTGCACCACTGTGTCTTAAGTTACCGCTCACTAGGAGCTCCCCGCACATACATTACTGCCTCTTTGTCTCTGAGGCAGCACGGTGTTGTGAGCTGGATGAATAGCTAATAACGGACAGAGATGAAAGCCTGATAATGAACACAAATGAGGGCACTGGGTTTATTTTAATTTCTTTGTTTGCCATCAATTCATCTAGTTTACCTTTGAACGTAGTGTGAGCTAGAGCAGCCTGGTTGTAGCGGTCAATGTTTCCTACAGATGTTTCATATCTAGAAACTAAATGTTCCTACGTTTTATTGCAAGTAAGGACCGGAAAATACCTACATTTAGACCTTTTTATATCTTATACAGATCAAAATGTGATCATATGAACTTATTTTGTATTACAAAGTGTTCCAAAATATCTTCAAATGAAACTAAATTGCAACAATATCCATTTGACCAGAATATTTAACGACTCATTCCCACATCTTGGACTGGACATTTATTAGAATAAGTGAGCAAATACAAAATGTTTCACAGGACTGGTGTATGTGAAATAACACCTATTTGAAATGTATTATTAAATATATTTTTGTGAATAGAGTTCAAGTCCAGGTCAAGGTACTGTCTGGACATTTCTTAGATCACCTTTTATGATTTGAGCATATCAGTGAACTCTGCAGTGCAGTTATAAAAATATTAAAACCTGTTCTCTGTTATTTAGGCTGATGCTTTGCTCCGGGTTAACGGCGACGTAGGAAGTGGTGACGTTTTCACCACTCCTGAGAGGCAAGGACGGGAATCCCCTCCTCAGTTCCAGGCGTCTCCTTCCATCATGAGCAGCAGCACTGTAGACGTTCCCTCGTCAGCAGCCTCACAGACACACACCTCGACCAGAGGAGGAAGCCCAGTGGCCACGAAAGCCAGGGAGGAACAAAGTGGCACAGAACCGGCTTCTAAGGATGCACAAGAACAGAAAGTCATTGAAAATTTGACGCAACCAAGCCGGCCCACATCACTCCCATCGGTCAGGATTTTTTTTATAGATGATTACACAAATCTGAAAATAATTATGAACCCATTATGATCAGTGGGCTATAAAGACCCTATAATGAACCTGCTACTCTCCTGGCTGTCAGAAATCGTACTGCACTCATTCCCTTTTGCTTCTTACAGAAATCATTTGAAACATTTGACTTATTTAAACACAGTCTTCCAACACTAGCCCTGGTATCTGCTGATAAGCCTCTTGATCTCAGGCTAGTTTGTGATACTCTCTACTTGAACTCGGGATGGATATATAATTCATCTTTGAAATCCTCTGTGCCCCTTAACAGGAGCTGCAGAAGCCAGAAGAAAGCTTTGAGAAGACAGGAAGTCAGGCTGCTGCAGAGGAGAAGTCAAATGCTGCAGCTCAACAAGCGCCTCCTGCAGGTCTGAACAGCATGTTGCTACACTGACCCCTTGTGGTTTCTCCAGTGTCTGCTTTTTCTGTTTTTTTTTTATGATAACATCAGTGATAAAATATGTGTTTTCAGAAGCCAAACAAGAACAACAAACTGAACCATCTGGCCAAAACGTCTCCAACCTCGCCCCGTCAGGAGTCAGCACAAAGCATAGTCAGCCAATCATTTTACAGGTGAGGCTGCTAACCAAAATAATACAAACGACCAATTAACCAGCCATTCAACGTATAATCTTTGACTCTCCCTGCAGACAATTGTGCCAAGTTCCCTGGAGGCGTCACAGAGAAGGGGAAACGTACCGAGCCTAGCCGCACCTGAGTCATTTGAATATCACCCGCCGAGGGAAACTGCAGGAGGTCAGTGAACACTTCTCATTCCAACAGAGCCAGCAGCTTCTTTTCCCATGCATCTCCTGAGTTTGATTAGCATATCCTCCTTGCTGGCTTATTTCCTCTTTTGCTTTAGAGCATATGCTGGCGCATTTCCACGACAGCGCGGTTTAAGCGTGCCGTGCCCGGCCCGTTTTTGGTTGCGTTTCCACTAGGCGTAGTTCCGGCTAGTGGGTACTTTTTCACAGTTGTTCTGGCTCTCCAAAATCGAGGTTTTTTCCGGGCCAACAACCGGGCTGAGTATGCTAAACTAGTGAGAGAATCGCTGGCAACTACAACAAAATGAACATATTTTACCGTGATTTAATTGTAATAAACGTTTCAAATACCGGTTAGTAAAAACCATGAATTAATGCTTTGACAAGTCTGCAGACAAGTCTGCAGGCGAAAAACTTTTGAGAATGCTTTTTGCCTGAATGGAGAGACGGCTAAGGCCTAACGGTTGTT